ATCTATCTAATCTATATCTAATCTTTAATCTATCTAATCTATCTATCTATCTATCTATCTATCTATTTATCTATCTATCTATCTATCTATCTCTCTTTCATCTGTCTATCTGTCTAGCTGTCTACCTGTCTATCTATCTACCTACCTATCTATCTATCTATCGATCTATCGAATCTATCGAATCTATTTATCTATCTATCTATCTATCTATCTAATACATAATTATTTATCACATATGATACGATGGGCTCTCTATGTATATATATATATATAATTATTAATAATAATTATTTTTAATTACTATTATTTTTTATTACTATTGATATTATACAGTATAACCAATAATAGTAATATTGGTGTATGGGTCATGATCCTGGTTACACCAACAGCGGTGGCATAGCTTTGACCCAAGCTCATTCGGGTGGAGTTTGTATTCCAAGAATTGGTTTTGCCCAGTTGAGGTGTATCGACTAGACCTGGGGGTGATGGTCTTACAGTTTACATAACCTTTACCATCCCTGGATGTTGTTGGAACATGTTTTAACGTGCAGATTTACCTCCTAAACCATCCAGTCTTGTAGGTAGTAGCACGATGGATGGTATGGCTTTGGGACTTGTGCATCAAAAATTCCACTGTTTCTTGAGCCACAGCCACAGCTGATTGTCAAACGGAACAGAGCATTTGACCCGTCAAACTCGAGGTGTCAGGATCAGATAGAACCTATTCAAATATCAGCTTGGATGAGTTTGCTATATTTGGATGGTTTTTCCGTGTAAATATTTTGGCAAAGGTAAACGCATATGTCAATAGGCAGGATTTCTACCTTTCGTAAGACGGCGCACAACATGTGGGCCCTATTGAAGACGAGCAGTTGCAGACATCACGAGACCAATTCGGTTGGGCAACCCAAAATGATCCTATATTCTGGAAATTCGCTAATTCCAAGATTATCTGGACACATTGTAGCATATTGCAGCTTTTTTTCAGGGTTTGTCTGTGAATTCGTCCAGATTTTTGTTCACCTGGGGCGGTACGCCTTGGATCAGCGTGAATGGAAGAGCTGTCACAATCAACCTGTTGGATCTATTCAAGATGTTGGCTGCTTGTTAAAGTTGTTAAAGATGTTCATTTGTATTCATATTAGCACTATATTCATCTATTATTCTATCTATTCATCTATCTATATATAATTATACGTATATATATACATATATATATATACACACTACTGTAAATCGCGGTAAAGATCAATCAATTATCAAGTATTTGATGGCCACCATGAACCTATATATATATACTGTATCATACTGTATCCATCATGCCCCTGGGCGCTGTGTGCAGTTGGATTCCGTCACTCGCTCCTTTTGCTTCAAGCAGTGCCAGAGTGCGCACGGATGCCTGGTGACATCTGGTGACCCGCTGGTGTTTCCGTTGGGATTTACCATGGGAAACATGGGAAACATGTTGGGATTTGACTTACATAAATGAAAATTTATGTAAGTCATACGCTCCATGCATGGTATATTTATATTTACCAAAAAATGACTGGGTGATTTTGGGGGTAAATGTTGGTAAATATTCCATACATGGAGCATATGGGTAATGTGGGTAAAACAATCATTAACCATCCCCAAAATCACCAGAAATAGGTGGTACCATTCCCGAATGGGTGGTTTATCATTGTTTTAACCGCATTAGTTGGTTTACACTCGCTAAGAACACAACTAGTCAACATTCTCCAGAGGACCACAGACTGGTGATTTCTTAGTTTTTTCAGCGTCCATTGTGTAAGTACCCTCTGGTAATTTAACGTAGCTATTGAAAATGGCCATTAATAGTGGATTTTCCCATTAAAAATGGTGGATCTTTCCATAGCTATGTAACAAATTACCAGAGGGTACCCCAATTTTAAAGCCACAAATGGCTTCGAAGTTCATCTGGAAAAACTGAACTGATCCCGAGGCTTGAAAGGGAGAAGGAGTGGAGCCTTGAAGAAGTGGGACAACTCAGACAACCAAAACGCGTGCGCCGGGCCGGGCCTGAAAATGATGCTTGAAACATCTTGAAACTGGAAAATTCATGGGATATGTCATGGGGATTTGAAGACATTTGGGATATAATTGGGTTGTGTAAAGCAACCATAGAATATTCGGGTGTGTCTGAAATTGTGCTATAAAAAAATGCCATTCAAAAAGGGATATGTAATGATGATTAATCAGGATTAACCAATGGATGTTGGGGTACCTTATTTTTAGACAAACCCCAGTGCCGTGTCATGTGTTCTTCAGAGATTGGGGGGATCATGGGTAAACCTTGACGGCAAGTTTCTCCGTAGATTTTCTTGGACATGGATCGAGGAATATATGATTATACATACATAATTAACTGACATTACAGATCATTACACATCAGTACACTGTACATAGTTTCCTGCAACACTTAGCTGTGGATATTTTTCTACATGGAGAGGCGCCTTTTGCCAGAAGCGCTCACGATGGAGCTCGAGTTGGACAGCTTTAGCGTTAGGATTATCATCCTCATCGGACAGCTCTTTTTGGGTGAGAAATTCCTCGGATATGATCATCGGGTCCAGATTGACTACTGTAATAGGAAATTCTGAGGGTTGTTGTGGGCCGTACGAAGGGGTGAAGCTTCATTTGTTTATTCATTTGTTTATGGCGATGTGTGATTATCAACAGATGATGGATCATAGAGGGACCGTTGCCATTATAGCAATCCACAATTTGATCCCAGTCAAGTGAGCTGGTGATTTCTTCGTAACCACAAACTAATCATCAATAATCCATGAGAATTCATACTATTTTCATACTAATCCATAAGATTTCACAAAATAATCCATAGTACTGTACAATTGTAAACATATGAGTAATCCATATATGGATTACTCAAATGTTTACAATTTTACAGTACTATGGATTACATAGTAATCCATACTAAAGCATCATAATCCCCATAGATATCCATAGATTACCTTGGGAATCCTCTCCCAAAGTTGCCACGTTAAACTCGTGTTTCGCGCAGCCTCGCGCCCACCCCCGAGGTTTGGGGACTCTGTCGAAATCATCTGACCATGTGATGAGTGATTTTTATGCGACCAGAAATGGGGTTATCATGGGCATGGACCATAAATGGATACCCGGCCTGGTAATGACTGTTACATAACGAACTGGAAAGATCCACCATGCTATTGATGGGTAAATCCACTATTTCGACTGGGCCATTTTCAATAGCTTTTTGTATGTTTACCAGAGGGTATGTTATGATTTTATGATCATTTATCATCCACTGACTAGAAAAACTAATATTTCGGGCCACAAGTCGTGTATTTGCTATACCATCATATAGTTGGAAGAGGTACAATCACCAGGTATAAGTATAGACAGTATGGTTGGAACATCATAGCACATACTTTCCTATACTGCCCAGAGGATCAAGAGTCATACTAACATGGTGACATTCGCAGGGCTGTACGATGATGTGAATAACATATGGTGAAATGAACATGAGCGTATTATAACCGTTATAACTGCAGTCGATGAGTGTCTTTCAACATGAACAATCGAGGAAGGAGCTGTCTCGTACGCCAAGTACCTTCACAATAGCTTCACAACGGACACAGCCATGGGCCATGGGCATCCATGGAGTTAGAGCATGACATCCATGGAATTTCGGCATGGGCAAATACCCACGTATAGCATGGGCAAAATTGATACCAACCAAAAAAAAGTCCCAGTCGGAACTGGCGAAACGTTGCCGTTCCGAACGGCCTAAATTTTCGGGAGTCCAGTCTGCTTATTTCCGCTGAACAAGATCCGTTTGTGCATCTCCGGAGGAATGAACGAGTCCCGCATCGGCAGGTAGTATCTACTTTGAAGCAGTTTGTATCCAGCTTGTGACATCTCAAAGTAATTACTGTTAAGTGGGCAGTGGGCAGTGACGAAAAAGGGTAGTTCACTTCACTTACTTGCAAATTGCCTAATTTTTACCCTCATGATTACTGACTGCTTGGATAGCCCAGATGATCCATGCATGGAATATTACCAATCTGTTATAACCTAATCGATTGATGATTATATAAGTAAAGGTGGAAATATCGCAGATGGGTTCAAACATTCCGCTGGGGCTGCAAGCCATTCCGACGCGATCGACCGCGTGTCCTGGTTGTGGTCGCCGACGTTGGGCGGCCGGAACATCTCGCTTTGAGGCAGCATGAAAATACCCTGACTGATTGATGAATTTGTTGGGACTTATACTACCTAATTCATCAATGTCATCATTTGTTGGGGCTTATCATTTTTTGAATACCCTACCTAATGTATGTCAAACATGATGACAAGCCACGAAAATCTATCAACCAACTGGTTTTTGAAACCTGGGGATTAGATCATCTTCCCGGATACGCCGCCACGGATCCAAGCATGGTGAATCCAGGGTGCAATCAATGGGGGATATTTAGTGTTCCAGCTTGTCCCTAGTCTGCAAAATTACTCATGTAGTAGCCGGTCTGGTAAACATACAAAAAACATCAAAAAACTATGGAAAATCACAATTTTATAGCTGGGTAAATCAACTATTTCGACTGGGCCATTTTCAATAGCTATGTTTGTTTACCAGAGGGTATAATAGGGTATGCCATACATGCTTCCCAAGCAAATCCTTAATTTCTCGAATTGACACAAGAAACAGTGCCCTTGAGATGTAACCAGTGACCATTGGACAAACCGGAAGCGAGCGAATCCTTACCTGGTCCGGAAGCTGTTGGCTGAGCGTTCATGTCATCCATGATGTTAGAAGCCTTGTCTCCACAACATTCGGAACTGGACCTGAGAATTTCAGTATGGTTGAACATCTCTCAAGATGGCAAATAATAAGACCAGACTCAGCTTTCCTTTTCAAAATGCACAACCATTGCTGCAGATATTACCGCAGCACACAGGTTTAACAACACTTGCTGAAGCCGTGTCGCTGCTGATTGGCCATGGGGAAGAAGAGGACATTTTTTGTGTGTCCACCGTACCGGAGATTTTGAGATTTTGCGAATGCAAGTGTCAGTCGTACCGGGCTTTGGAACGAATGGCTATCGTTGGAAGGATCAGATTTGATGTGGTGCAGAAAAGAAGAACAACGGTTGAGGTCGTTTAGCAGTATTGTGATATAGAAGCGTATATACGTTCAGCTTTTTGAACCATGATTAAAGGACGCGTATCAGGATGCCACATGATGACTGCGGAGTGTCTATAGAGTGATTGGGTGACAAACATGATGCAAAGAGACCATTGAGTGGACCATTGAGAACTAAACTTTGGTGGGTGTTACTAGGTTGATTGAGTTCTCCATAATCCCATTGAAGGCTGAATATGTATGGTTCATCATCGGCTGATGGCATTCTACATACAGCTTCCCCTCTTCTGAATGAAAATGAGTGCTCTCGGCAGAGGAATGAGAATAGCAGGAGCCTGACTAACAGTATTATATCATTATAATATATATATATATTCTATTATGTTATTATATCATATTATTATTTTATAATATATGTGTATATATATATATTACAATAAAATCGAATTTTAATAATAGAAACTGCTGCGACCATCAATGCTGCAAGTGGGAACCGAGGGTTGGTGGCTGGGGGATGAACAGCTATAGCAGCCAAGGTTATTATAGTAAGGACCACCCACAATATGCCAATTTCTTAACATCTCAATATAATAAATATATATATATATAGGCTCAAGGCTGGGGGTTCCCCGGAGCTTCGAGGAACCCGTAGTCTTGATGCTATTCCAGAAAGGTCGTTCTTGTATACAGGGAGGTGGGGGGGTGGTGGGGGGTGTAATAACGTCATGTGAAGTGCGTTGGATGATGTTGAATCCTGGAAGATGTTGCTTGGTTGGAAGATGTTGCTACGTTGCAAGTTTCGTTGTTGTTTACAGAAGGGGGGTGGGGGGGGTGTAATAACGTCATGTGAAGTGCGTTGGATGATGTTGAATCCTGGAAGATGTTGCTTGGTTGGAAGATGTTGCTACGTTGCAAGTTTCGTTGTTGTTTACAGAAGGGGGGTGGGGGGGTGTAATAACGTCATGTGAAGTGCGTTGGATGATGTTGAATCCTGGAAGATGTTGCTTGGTTGGAAGATGTTGCTACGTAGCATGTTCCACACATGTTTATCATCCATGGGAGATGTAAAATTTTCCTGTTTCAGCACGGACAAACGTCAAGTTCTTCCGCGATGAAAATGGAAGTTCGATTGATCAAACCATTTCAGAGAAAAACATAAAACACTGTAAAACACAGTGTAAAAACAACATTTTCCATCGCCATGCCCAAAAAATGGTTTGGTAAAGCGAAGATGAAAAATATGTGATGTTCATTTCGTCCATGGTTCTCCAGTGGATTATGACATTTTGTACTTATCAACAAAAACTGAAAAATGTATGAAACCGCAATTCCAATGGGAAAAATGTTGAACGCATTTTTGGCCATCCATGGAAGATGTAAATTTATTGTGAAATCATGCCGATGTTGGCTGGTGGCCATTCATTTTACCGGAGCCATTGGGGCCCTAGTGCACAAAAGATTAGGAGCGCAGCTGCCTTTTAGTGGCAGCGGAGCATAGGTTCCGATCCAGGGTGGTTGCCATAGGGATTCGGCGAGCTTGGCTGCGGTGGTGGCGTAGTGGGGTACTACGACTAGGGCCTCGGTGGCGGCAATGACTTCGTACTATGAGGCGTTCGAGGTCAGGGTGGAGACGGATGAGCCCAATGATGAGGAGCAACTGTCGGAAGGGAGGTGGAATAGGTCCAATCCTGGCAGTCAATGGTCGTGGGGGTCTTGGTGGAGTTCAGGTCAAGATCAACAACGTTGGGAAAATTGGTCGTGGCATGGTGACTCGTCGTGGAGGAGCTCTCGAAACTACGATGGGGGTGAGAACTGGTCATTTGACTGGTCCTCTGAGCAGGGTAGTGAGAGGTCTGTGGGAGACGGCGGAGCACGAGACCGAGGAGACCGAAGTTCTCAAGGGCATGGAGGTCGAGATCATGGAGCACCGGGACAAGAACGAGGAGCTGGATCCTGGGACAGCTTGATGTCCCCGAGGTCACCGCCTGCTGCGGGCTTTGACCGTGATGGAAACCCACCAAGTGGAGAAGTTTCTTCGGTAGGAGAACGACGAGAACCTCGTGGTCCAGGCGATCGAGAAGAACGTGGAGGATCACACAAAGGAAAGGTCAGCAGCTCTTACCCTCCCATCTTCAGAGCGAAGGTGGGAGAATCCTACCGGGATTGGAGGCGGTCCTTGGAGTTTTGGCTTGGAGGAGAGGGTCATCAGATTCCAGAAGAATACATTGGGCCGAGGATAATGGTCCAACTCCGAGACCGAGCTGCCCAGTTGGTGAAGCACTTGAACAACAGCGATGTGAACAAGGCTGGAGGTATGCAGAAGATCTTCGACGTCTTGGAGAAGAGCCCGTTGGTGAAGCAGTTGGACAAGCACAGAGTGGATCAGCACCGCAAACGACTCATGTCTTTGAGCCGTTTTGCGGGTGAGTCCTTGGAGAGCTACATCACCAGAGGAAACATCTACAGGACGCAATTGCTGGGCTTGGACTCGACGCTTGAGATGGGGGAGCGTTTCTACGTGGGGCATCTTTTGGATCATGCACGTTTGACTCGACGAGACAAAGTGCTCGTGAGAACACGACTTGCATCCACTTAAGCGTATTACGGTATTACAAAAAAAATTGGGGCTTTGGAGATATTTTCTCGTTTTGGTTTTTCAAAATTAAGCTATTTTCAGAACTCGTCGCTTTGTATTTTCAGACTTTGTTACAAAAACCTTCATGACTTTTAAAACCATGCCACATGCGTTCTACTAGAATTCTCAGCTCAATTTTCCTTAGTTGTGGTATATGACACATTTTTCTTCTGACACACTTATTGTGGGACAGCTTTTCTGTTCTCTGCCTGGCGACGTCCGCAGAAGGAAATTTCTCGTATAGACGCCCGGCTAGATATTTTAACAAGTGTCATGACTATTTTCTTTTCTCGTTTTCTTTTGGCTCAATGGTTAAGATGCGCCGCTCCATTGTGGCTGTTTCGGCCGCGGTACTGGCTTGGCTCGGCCATTTTAGTGGCTGCTTCGGCCACGGTAGCAATGTCAAGCTTGGAAACCGGGGCCAAATTCAGATGGCGTAGTTCGGGCAAAAAATGGTGTAACATGTTCCTCGTCTCAGATGGCCAGCCAGAGCTAGGGTCATGGTTGGATGTGAAGCAGCAACCTTGGGGTGTTGGTTGTAAAGTGTGCAAGGAAACTGGGGTTTCCAATCCTTTCGCTTCTTATTCAATGACCAAGAAGGGCCAACTGCAGAACTGCAATTTGATGAAGCACCATAAAAGCAAGGCGCACAAGGCAGCGGTGAAGGAATGGTTGAAGGAAGGGGGCTGTGTTGGTCCTAGTCCCGATGCAGCCCTGGCATTGAGTCAGTTTCAAGAGCTGATGGAGTGCTTTGGCGAGAAAAGATCATTGACGCAAAAAGAGCTGCAAATGGCATGGTGTTTGGCAGAGGGGTTAAAAGCTTTGGACCAAACGTTCATTGCGAAATCTTCTCACATTTCTTTGATGCGGGATGAGCGGCATGGGCGGTTGGCCATACGATTCATGGCTGTGGCCCCAGACTTGACAACTCGAAGTGGCTTTTTAGGCCAAGCAAGGCAAGCTGGAACAGGAGCTGCCAATGTCTCCTTAGCCACATGGGCAGTCATGAAGCGTGCTTGCTCTAGATTTTATATGGCTCCTCTTAGTCAGAATCCTGGGCGTTTGAAGAAAAATCTTTTTAAACACCTGCGGTCAAGAGTTGTGGCACTCGCTGCTGATGCAGCAGCAGATGAAATGGCAAGCTGTGAAATATTAAGGTCAGCACACTTGAGTTTGAATACAGAAGACAATCAGCCAATGCTGCCAAACTTGAGGTCAGAAGTGGACAATCGATTGAGGGTTGGACACTGCTCAGGAGCCACCTGGGTATTTCAACTCACCCAAGCTGCTGCGGCCGAGGCTTGAGATTAAGGGCGTAGTCAGGCTGCTTCGGCCTGCTCGTTGCCAGGCTGCTTCGGCCTGCCCGAAACTTTTTTTTTGAAGAAAGTGGTTGCTTCAGGCTTCAGCCACAGAAGCTTGGCTGCTTCGGCCAAATCGCCTGGCTGTTTCGGCCAGCAAGGGTTTCGAGAAGACAGACTGTCTCTTAGAAAATAGTGGCTGCTGTGGCCTTCTTGGGACCAGGTTGTGGCAGAGACTTTGAAACCACCAAAGAGTATTTGAATCCAAAAAGGGGAAAATATGTAACATGTTTACTGTTTACTATTCAAATGTCCTTTAACCTGGTAAGGGGAATATTTTCTTTTTTATGTCATAAGGGATTTTGACATATGTTTAAAAATCATCTTAAGAATTACAGGGATGTCACCTCTTAAGACTATAAGACCCTAATTCGGGGACATCCTCTAACCTCCTAAGACTCTAATTCGGGGACGTCCCCTAACCTCCTAAGGGGTAATTCGGGGACATCCCCTAACCTCCTAAGACTCTAATTCGGGGACGTCCCCTAACCTCCTAAGGGGTAATTCGGGGACATCCCTTAACCTCCTAAGACTCTAATTCGGGGACGTCCCCTAACCTCCTAAGGGGTAATTCGGGGACATCCCTTAACCTCCTAAGACTCTAATTCGGGGACGTCCCCTAACCTCCTAAGGGATATAATCAAAAACCCTATCCTATGGAGAGGGCGATTTGCCCTCTCCAACCGAAGGTCGGGGACGTCCCCTATAGCTGTGTAAGGAGAGGACGAATAGAGGACGAATGTGTAATACTACTAAGTGTTTCGGTTTTACAAGCTGTTGTCCTCTGTTTGTCCTCTCCAACCGAGCATCGGGGACGTCCCCTACCTGTGTAAGGAGGGGACGAAATGACCTCTCCTTACACAGCATGTTTAACCAAAAACCTGCTGTGTAAGGAGAGGTCGTCACAGGTCGTCATGTTGCCTGAGCTTGGCTGTTTCGGCCACCCTGGCTGCCTTGGGCCTTCGTCAGTGAGCTGTGTAAGAAGAGGGCTGTGAGAGGACTATTGAATAAAATTCCTTAGGGCAAAACAACCTTTTTCGAATAGTCCTCTCACAGCCCTCTCCTTACACACTTCGCTGCTGTCAGTCTAAGGAGAGAACTGTTAGTCCCCTCCTTAGAAGCCTCACTCAAGTCGTTTCTCGTTGTTTTCGGCTCACAAGCTTTTCCGTGTGTAAAAGCTGTTTCGGCTTAAACCGTGAAACGTTCCAGGCTGCCTCGGCCTGCAATCACAGGCTGTTTCGGCCTGGAATATAACCTCACAGACTGGTTCGGTCTTGGAGCCAGTTTGCTACCACAGTCCTATGAGCTCTGCGACGAGTCGATCCACGACTTTTCGCGAAGATCATTATCGATCTGACACCTCTGGACGGCCGCATGGCTTGGGCAGCCTTGCGAAATCGGGTATAGGGTATGTAGGAGTTGCCTTCAACCCAGAGCACCACCGGCTGCTTGCATTGCTTGAAAAAGAAATGACAAACCCTGAGTCCAGCTTGTTTTCGTCAGCTTACAGTGAAGCCGTCGGTGGCAGTGGGCAGGCACCTGTGAATCAGACCGCAAAACCAAAGGCAAAGGTAAAGGCAAAGGCCAAAGGCAAGGGAAAGGCCAAACCAAAGGCTAAGGCAAAAGCCAAAGCCAAGCAAACAAAGGATGAGCAGGAGGAAGGCGAAGAGGAAAACGACGAAGATGAAGAAGACGACGTCTGGAATCCTTTGGGAGACGACGACGATGACGACGAAGAGGACAATGGAGACAAGTGATGTGGCTGCCTCGGCCATAGACGAGACGACGTGGCTGCATCGGCCATACCACGGTTGCATCGGCCGTGTGGCTGCCTCGGCCATAGGCGACGATGTGGCTGCGACATAGGCACTTCGGACCTATAGGCAGTTTTGATTGTGCCTTCCATGCGGGATCGAAAAAAAAGCTGCTTTTAATTTCCCACAAACATGACAGGTTGAAAGGTAAAAGTGTCGACTCTCTTAGGGGGATGTCCTGTTGTCAGTCGGTTTGTCTCATGTTTGCTGTACATGTTCTGAAACATAATCATTTGCGGTTTCTCGCACATTTAGGCTCTAGGCTTAAACTACATATGACCGTTTCCATGCTGATGATGATGCCGCCGCCCGAACTTCCACGATGACGTGGCAACCCCAGTGTAGTCACTAAGCCTGATGCCAAAGTCATCCAAAGGGATCTTCTCAAAAGGTTCCATGTGGAAAAGCTGTACCAGAAGTACAGGCTGCTTCAGACCAGCACATGGCCATCGGAAAGCAAGCTTGCTTCCACTATGCGGATCGAAATTGTGAGAAGAAAAGGGGTTAAGTGGATGAGTGAAAAAGAAAAAACAAAGTGATGAGAAGTAGCATTTTGACTGCATCGGCCAAGCTATGGCTGCTTCGGCCAAGCTATGGCTGCTTCGGCCAAGCTATGGCTGCTTCAGCACATGGCTGCTTCAGCCTATTCGAGTCTAATTCATATGATTTTAAAATCTATGGGAACCCATCTTTAATTCACCTGTTTGTGGCTTGCACAAACCAAACTTGCTGTAGATATTTGGAATCCTCGTTTGCCCAAGAGAAAAAATGCGTGGACCGATGATTGAAGCTATTTTCTTGTTGTTGGAAGACATGACATTGTCACTGCCGGCACACACATGCATTAAAATTTGAGCACACGCAATCTGATATTTCACCCATGGAGACATTAGCACTCCTTTTGGTTTATATGCTTCCTTCTCCTTCATTCCTTTTACAAACACTTTCTTAAAAGAAGCTGTCTACTCCACTTTTTTATTTTTATTTCTCGTTTCAGTAACTTTCTCGTGTAAGTAACTTTCTCGTGTAAGGGCAATTTTTTTTTGTAATACCGTAATGCCGCTAAGTGGATGCAAGACGAGCGGGTGAAGAGACGGAGGAGTCCATCACCAACGCTATGATCGAGTTAGCGGCAGAACTGGAGGGTGAAAGTGGCTTCCCAATAGGTGCATCGGAGCCGAACACGGCAGGTGCAAATGGAGAGGAGTGGCTTCTTCAACGTCCTGGCGGAGCGCAACAAGCCTTTGGAGGTCGACGAGGCGGACGAGCAGCATTGGCCGCGGAGAATGTCGAGGACGAGACAGAGGAGACTGAGTTTGAGGACGAGCCGGACGAGGTGGGTGCAGAGTCCATTGATGGAGACTATCCACCGGAGCTGCGAGATGCGGAGAAGGAGGCCTACGCCATGCACTACAAGGCGAAGCAGCGAATGGCAGAGGTGAAGAAGCTGAGACAATTCTACCGCAAGGGCGACCAGGTGGAGGAACGGAAGAAGGCCCTCGCAGAGAAGATCCGGAATACGGCATGCCACAACTGCGGAGAAATAGGGCATTGGAGCCGAGAATGCCCCAAACCGAAGCAGCAGCAGGTCCTCATGGCATCCCGCTCCAAGAAGAAGGGCAATAGCGTTTCCTCGAGTGCTATGAGCAGCATCCCGGAGGAGCTTCCAGGGGATCACGAATGGGATCTGCTGGTTTCCTTGTGTTCTGGCTACCAGAAGGGTAGCTCAACTGAAGACAATGCCCGCCGTGCATACATGACGCTGCCGTGTACGCTGGAGATGGGACGGGATGGAGTTGAGTATGATGTGTTGTGGTGCATGAAGGAGTTAGAGAATGCAGTTATTTTGGACATAGGGTGTCTCAAGTCGGTCACGGGAACTCAATGGGCGAATCAGTTGATTACCAAATGGAAGAAGGAAAAGAGATGGTTGAAGGTTTTTCCTGAAGAAGAAGTTTTTCGTTTTGGGAGTGGCGACACCTTGAAGAGTAAGTACATGATTCAGTTCCAGGCCACGTTTGCAGGAAGACCAGTGGTTCTTTGTTTTTTCAGTGGTGAAGGGGGAATGTCCACCGTTGTTGTCACGGCATGCATGCACACAGCTGGGGGTGAATTTTGACTGTGAACATCATACATTGTCTTCAAGAGCCTTGGGAGTGAAGAACTATGGGTTGAGACAGACTACTAGTGGACACTACGTCATGGACATTGCTGAGACAGATAACCAACCGTTGGAAGAAGTTCCTGAAGATTTTAGGATGGAGTTAGGCGTTGAGGCGATGAAGTTGTTCACAACCACGGCGGCATGTGCAGCGAAACCTTGTGTGTTACCAGAGAACCTTGGCTCAAGGAGCCCTACAATTCGAAAAGGCGCCACTGCCCATGTCCGCCGCGGGCAGCCAGCGGCATTGCCGAGTATGCGGCGATCCAGATCATCGCACTCGGGAGTGTCCGACGATTCAGTCAGACGAGGACATCCCCGACCACGTCGCCAGAGCCCTATCCATGGATGCCGAGAGCGAGATGAGCGGCTTCCGCAAGGGCCAACGGGGGAGCGATGTCTCGATGCTAGAAGCTCTTCAGAATACACAGACTCCCAAGCGCGCACCTCGGTCCAGGAAGAAGATGGAGAGTCCGAACAGCGCGTGGGAGGAAGTGACGCCCTATCAAGCCCAGGTGATGAGCCACCGCATCGATACGCCACCGGCGACGGCATCAGCGATCGACCTCACCGAGGCGGAGATGAAGAGGATCGTCAAGAGTCGGGAGAAGAGGAACGTGACCCGGCAGAAGAAGGAGGAGACGATGGCTCTGTCAGGCCTCAAGGCCGACTACCCTTCCCTTTCTCATGCCTACAGTCTGGAGGTTCCCTTCAACATAGTGGAGTGCCTGAGGTCGAGGATGATCACTTTCATGTGGAAGAAGCTCTTTTGGCAGGCACGAGTCAAACAAGCGGTGGAGATGTCAATGCCGGGGGCCAGGTGGAAGAAGAATCGACGGTGGCTGGCGGGTTTGCTGGGAAAGGAGATCGGAAGCCTGTATGGGCACTACGGGGCAATGCGGCAGAGGCTGAGCTCTCCAGTGGGAGTGGATCTGATGTGAGACAACGCTGCACGGAGATTGCGGAGAACGAGATCATGGCCGAGGAGGACGTGGTGACCATCGACAACATGCTGAAGGAGCACGGGGAGGCGATCACGGACATCTACTACGACCAGGAGGAGAACAACGTGATCTACCAGGAGGACTTGCAGCGTTTCTATCAGAGGCGTGCAGAGGAGCGAGAGGGCCACATGACGAGGCCGGCAAGAGGACTCACTCAGAAGTTCAAGAAAGGCATCAAGGATGCCCTGGCTGTGATGGATAAGGTGAAGGATGTAGCAAAATGGACCAGCCGGAGGATGGTCCTGGAGATCTTCGCAGGAACAGCCATGGTTACACAGGTGGCCGAAGAAAGCACACCTTGGGGAGCTTATCAACCGATTGACATCATCATGGGCGAGGAATGGGATTTGTCGGTGGCAGCAAATCGCAAACACGTGGTCAATTTGGTGAGCTCCCTCAAGCCAGCGCTTGTGGTCATCACTCCTCCGTGTGGACCTTGGTGCGCCTGGCAGCGACTATGTCAGGACTTTGACGCCTTGGATGAACTTCGGCGCAAGCATTTGCCCTATTGGCGCCTCACCCGAGACATTTGGGATTGCCAGACTCGAGAAGGACGTCTGGCGCTGACGGAACAACCTGATGGTTCTGATGCGCTGGAGACAAGCTACATGACAGGGCGGAACCCTCTCTATCGAGTGGTAGTGGACCAGTGCATGTTCGGCCTGAAGGACCCAGAGTCCCACAAGCTGTACAGAAAGACGACTGCTTTGGATGTCAATGACGAGACCTTCGCCAAAGCCTTGGCCGATGTGGCGCGTTGCAATCATGCACCGGAGGAGCACGAGCAGATCAAAGGTCAGGTCAAGGTCGAAGGGAAATGGCGGAAGCGCTCAGAAATGGCATCGGCTTGGACGGCAAAGCTGGCCAACCACGTGCTCAAGTCAGCGGAGGCGGCCATCTACAAGGAGGAGACGGAAGATGAGGACGTGCTCGTGAGTTTGCCGGTTGATTCCCCGACGACACCGACCACGAGGGCAATTGAGGAAGAGACATCTGATTGGGAAGACATGGACCCGAAGTATCGACGTTGGACGTTTCCAGTCGAAGCAGAAGGAGCAGTCCTGACCCCCGAGGAGGTGATGAAGCGCCAGATGAGACAGTTTGGAGCTACGGGAGAAGAATATGACTACATCACTTTCGAGGGTCAGGCCAAATTGCTTGTGAGAAGGGTGAGACGGGTGTTGGCGCATCTACATGTGACGTTGGGTCACATCTCCAACGACAGGCTGCACCGCATGCCCAGCTTGGCAGGGGCGAGTGGAGATCTACTTGCAGGAGCACGCCGACTTCGCTGTCAAGTATGCTGCATGGTTAGGCCACCCACGAGCAAACCACAGGTGTCCTACCTCAAGCCGACCAACTTCAACCAGCAAGTGAGCGGCGACGTCTTCTTCGTTTGGGACATCAACAACGTGAAGTATGCGGTGGTACACTACATTGACGAGCTCACGGACTATCATGTGGGAGCAGTTGGATTGGATCCTACTTCGGATTGGGCGGCGGAGGCCTTGTGTAGATGCTGGTACGATGTATTTGGCCCTCCTGATGTGCTCATTACGGATGGTGGATCAGAGTTCAAGGGTGCGGTGGATCGATTGAACGACCTGTTCGCAGTGCAGCACGACCTCATCCCGGACCAGGCTAAGTGGCGATTGGGTCATGCAGAACGTCATGGAGCTATCGTGAAGATTATGCTCATGAAGGTCATCATGGAGTTGCGCATCGGGAACATGGAAGACATGAAGACCGCACTTACATCCTGTATATGGCCGCCAAGAACAGGCTGACCAACAGTGCTGGAGTGGCGCCGATTCAAGCGGTGACTGGGCGCAACACACCATTGCCGAGCTCTCTCATGGCGCAGATCACGAGCGGAAAGGTGAAGTTTAAGGCCAATGCAGACTTGTCCAAGGATGAGGCATTGAGGCGAGGCGAGAGGATCCGATCCGGCGCGATCGAGGCCTATCACTGGTTGGATGCTCACGAAGGACTTCGAAGGGCTTTGGCAGCGAGGTCGAGACCGCCGATGCTGGAGTTGATCCGGGAAGGAGCGGTGGTCTATGTGTACGACCCTCCAGTGAGCAGAAAAGGTCTGGCACGGCGAATCCAGGACAACATCTCCTGGGCAGGACCAGCTGTGGTGGTCTGTGTGGAAAGGGATCAAGGCACGCCGAAGAAGGTCTGGGTTAGACTCCGGGCCAGAGTGAAAGCGTATCCATTGGAGAAGATCAGACTGGCGACCGCGGATGAGATGTTGAGCGCCGAGTACATTGTGGGGGCCCTCAAGGACGTGGAGCAGGAAATATCAGGTGGACGTCTACAAGTGGAAGATTACATTCCACCACAAGGTCCAGAAGAAGATGCAGAAGCAGAAGCAGAAGCAATGGAGGATGAAGAGCCGCGTCAAGAACTTTCAGCCCAGGCAGACCGAAAGAGGGAACTGACCCACGACGTGCCTCAGGCTATGAAGCCGGCGGAGACCGAACCTCACCTCATGCCCTTTGAGAAGAAGCAGAGATTGTTTGAGCAGCTGGCGAAGGATTTGGGTGCGCCAACGGCATTGGAGGAGGCAGCTGTGCGAGACAGGTTGGAGAAGGCCTATGGCGAGCTCAAACAAGTGCGAAAAGGGTGGAAGAAAGAAAAGAAGGAGCAAGGGCGTGAGACAGCCAGAGGCGGTGATGGCAGAGCTACATCATCAGCGGCTCCTCGAACTCCAGGAGCTTCTTCTGCCGCTCCCCGAACTCCAGGAGCTTCTACGAAGAGAACACCACCGGGGAAACGGGTGGGAGCAGTAGAACCTACGGAGCCAATTCCTGTCTATGGCGCCTGGCTAGAAACAGAGACCCAGGCGCTGGTTTGGGAAGATGCGGGAGAAGTTGGAAGTGGAGGCTACGTCGACCAGATCGTGGAGATGTCGGAGAAGTACACCGCTGCTGAGGTCCATGCGGTTCTGGAGTCCAAGATTGTCACGGGCAAGTTGAGGCTGGAGTATCAATGGAAGGATTTGAATCAGGAGTGGCGCAAGGCATATGAGCAGCCTTTGGTCAAGGCTGTGCAGGTCTACTTTGACCACGAGGCCATTCAGGGTGTTCCGAAGGATGCAGTGATCGAGCCCCGCAAAATCTTGAGCTCCCGCTTTGTCTTGACCAACAAGGGAGGAGAAGATCTTCAGTCGGCAGAACTGAAGGCTCGATGGATTCTGGGTGGCCACAAGGATAGCGAGGTTGGAAAATATCCAACGATGGCGCCAACAGCCAGCCTTTTGGGACACAACATCCTGAACATGGTGGCCACTCAGATGAGATGGATTGTGGAGTATGAGGATGTGTCGGCAGCATTCTTGCAAGGGAAACCACTTCCGGAGGATCGGGAGGTCTATGTGAAGCTGCCGGCAGGATATCCAGAGTGCGTCACCGACCACATCTTCAAGATTGTCGGCGAGCCCTATCGAGCAGACCTTCTACGTCTACGGAAGGGAGGTTTTGGCCTATGTGAGAGTCCACGGCTTTGGTATCTGGAATATAAGGCGACCTTGGAGGAGTTGACCCTGAAGGAGCTCAAGCTGATACCAGGAATGTTCGTGGCTTTCCACCCATCAGGAGCACTGCGAGCCATTGTCACCATACATGTGGACGATACCAGGTATGCTGGTGACAGCACAGCAAAGGAGCTGTGGGATCAGCTGCATCAGAAGCTTCGTTTTGGACAGCATCGTCGAGCAGTGGATGGGTGGCAGAAATTTTGCGGGCGTTACGAAAAGCAATGCCCGGAGACTTTTGAGTTCTTTTACACGATGGCGGACTACGTGACCAACATCCCGGACATCACCAAGGAGGAGATGGATCCACGACGAGGTCCCTTGTCCGAGAACGAGCGGAAGAAGATCGGCTCAATTCTCGGGCAGATCAATTGGACAGCCCGACAAGGTCGATATGACCTATCCTATGGGGTCTCACACTGTCAGCAGCTTGCGGGAAAAGGGCGCCGTGAGGCGATGGAATGGGTCCACAAGCTGGTGGTGAGAGCCAAGAAGGAGGTGATCGTGAAGGTTCCTCGCATCGAAGGACGATGGGAGGATTGGATCATCGTTTCAGCCAGCGATGCGGCCTACGCTGCCCAACCGAATGGCCATTCACAAGGAGGAGTAGTTTGTATGGTGGGCCATTCTGACATTTTGTCAGGCAATGGCGCAGTGGCCGTGCTCGAAGCTCAGAGCATGAAGATACAGAGGGTGGTAAGGTGCAGCATGAGCGCTGAGCTGTCAATGGCGGCCGAAGCCTTCGAACACGGGGACTTCATCAGGGCGGTGCTCGCGGAGGTGTTCTATGACAACTTCGAGCTCCGCCGATGGAAATGGTTCGCGAGTCGGTGGAAGCACTATCTGGTCATCGACGCCAAGACTGGATACGATGTGCTGTCTTCAGAGGCGATGACCGCCGACAGGAAGATCATGATCGATGCAGCCGTCCTCCGAGAGGCCTCACTGAGGAAGGGGCTAGCAACTTCGTGAGATGGATCCCGGGAAGAGAGATGGTGAGTGATGGACTTACCAAATGGAATGACAATGGCGTGCTGCTGCGAGTGCTGACGAAGGGAGAGTGGAGCTTGGTGGACACGGAAGAAGCAAGAGCCCTTCGTCGTGAAGCAGCACTACGGAAGGCACGTTACGTCAAGAATGTACAGAAGCACCAGCCAACACCATAGGGGGCAGGTGTGAAATCATGCCGATGTTGGCTGGTGGCCATTCATTTTACCGGAGCCATTGGGGCCCTAGTGCACAAAAGATTAGGAGCGCAGCTGCCTTTTAGTTTTATCATTTTTCTGCGCGGACAAACTCCGAGTTTATCCGCACCGACATTGATACTTTCACTGATGGAACACTTTCAAGGGAAGGCAAAAAACACTGTAAAACACAGTATATATAAAATCAACATTCTCCATATCCATACAATTAAATTGCAATTGGCTTCCGGGGAACCCCCAGCTTCCGCCCTATATATATATATACATATATATATCTACATATATATATATCTCTACATATATATATATATATAATTACATAATTCCCAAAATGGGCATACCCCCATAATATCTAAAATCAAACTGGTTTCGTATGGCCCCCCCCATTTTTAGGAAATCCCCATATGTCAAGTTCTTCTCTCGTCTCACTTGTCATCACTTGTCCCAGAATTGGTGGGGAAAAAAAACTGGATATCCCCAAAATCTTTAGACCCCACAAGTGCCTAGAAATGGGATATCTATCCCTAAATTGGCATATCTTATCATATCTTTCTTTGCCAAGTAATCCCCAATCTATCCATTCTTGGGGGATGCCAATTGTTAGGGTCCAAGTGGAGCCACCAACAGCCGTGCCCCAGGATTCAGACGACGGCCTCCACAGAAGTCACACGACTGGCGGAAGATAAGGCGACCGTCGCGACACGTCGCGACACGTCGCGACGGTAAGGGCTGGGCACAACTCGTGTAGGCCCAAGCTAAACATCTAAGATATTTGTATCCCAGATGCTCCATGTATGGAATATTTACCTACGTTTACCCCAAAAATCGCCCAAATGTAGGTAAATATTCCATACATGGAGCATATGGGTATGTGTGACTAATTACTAACAAAAATGCAAGATGTGTGGGAAAAAGAACACATGCAGATCAAGTATCTTCATATACCTTCATCATCTGTGGTATCAAACCATCATATTTTGGACAATGTCATTTTTGACTCACTCGTCCCTATTCAGTAATGTGGCCTATACAAACAAACTTGCATTTGGATCATTTGGTTTGGAGATAACTTGGTTTAACTTACGGGTAAACATACTTAACACTTTCAACAGGAAAAATATTATAAAGTTTGTTTGGATGTTTGAATGCCATTAACCGGTTGTTAAGTATGTTATTGTTACTAACCAGTATGTTATTACAAACCGCTGCCATTGTTGTCCAAGTTTGAAAACGGCTATTGGTCGTCCATGGTCGATGTCACCTCTTGCGTCACCTTTGAGTTTGCACAACTTGACATGGTCACCCAGTGGGTCTGAAAAATAAACATTAAATGTCACGAACACAAAGCATAGGGATTTACCTTGATTCAACAAACTGAAGTGGGCGATACCATGGTTATATGATGTTATACGAGCAATGACGATCTGATTGGTGTTTTTGTAAGTGTTGATGATGTTCCATCATGTTTCGTCCCAGTCATAATCCCTATGCCGTTATATCATTGAAAACACCAAACAGATGATGATTGTTTATTGCGATTTGCAATGTTTGCCCATTCATATTGGTTATTATTAGTATTGCTAAGGCTATTACCGTTTTTTGTATTACATATATTGTTATTACTTGGTTGCTGGGTTTGAATGTATCCTGGGGAGGCCTTGGATAGCTTGATACTGGGGAAACCTTGATTTCGGGTAGATGGATGATAGTAACCTGGCTAAAATTCTAATTTGTTTCACGGCATTCCTATAGATTAAGGCAGCGGAAACCTATTATAATTCCAACATGAATTGTGACATACATCCCCATCGTTGGTGGTTCAATCCAGATGCATCCTACCGTAGTACGTAATGAATTTAGTTCCAATATCAATCCCCATTCTGACAATTTGTCTACTAAATAATTCCGGGAAAAAAACACAAAAACCACATCTATCCACATTCATTAGACACATATCAAAGTATTGGTTCGTTTGGGTCGTTTCCCCGGGAGTTTGGGTCGGTCATCTCGGTCATCTTGGGTAGGACTTGGGAATCTCCTATGGACCTGGGCCCGATGGCAACAAGTTTGATATCTTCATGCAGGAGCTGTCTCTGAAACTGCTGTGAAACTGCTGTGAACTGGTAATGCCACTGAGATCTAGTTGATCATTTGAGATCTCTGAAACTGAAGGTTGTTGTTCCGTGATTTTCTGAACATGTAACTGTCCGGTGGTGAATGGAGGGAGCGATGAACGGAGCGATTGGGGTATCCATATTCCCTATTAAATATTATTAAATGGGAGCTAAGTAGCTACTATAAGAGTTTACCAGCCAGATGAGCAATATGGGGCAATAATGTGTGTCTTTGGTGGATTTTATGGCCGTATTCTATGACCATATTTTAAATATTACCCTATAGATCCCTATTGTAATTCAACATGGCCATGGAAAACCAGAGAAAGTAGATGATTTCCTATCAAATACGACCATTTTCCTTGGCTATGTTGAATAATCAATAATATGTTATATCGATGTTGATCATATTAGTTCGATTATTGAAACATATATTCATGTTATATTGCATCATATGATATGTCAAAATCAATGAGTTGCATCGAATCGATGTGTCCTGCAGACTCATCCATACTCATCCCACAACTTCTTGGGCACCCAGCCGCAACAGAGGCAGGACAGGGACAGCGCAAAATATGCCCAGCAACAGGGGGCCAATATGCATCCAAGCAGGTATTTGGTCAATACAGATAAAGCGGCACCTTCAGTCAGTAAGTATTCTTTACGACCCGGGTTTTTTTTAGCCCCCTACTTGGTGGAAAATTCCATGTATGACTGGGTACCATGGCTATGGTACCCAGGCACCCGCGATGCACATCCCATGGCTATCCCAGAGGTGGTGGAAGGGAAGTGTTTGTTTCTGTGAAGCTCCCCATATTCCCTGAAAAACCAGTGTTTAAGGTTGCTAAACCCCATAGGATCCATGTATGGTATATATGCTAACATTGGGGGTATATTGATGGTAAATGTTACCATATATAGCATACATGGATCCTATGGGACTATGCTAAAGTTATGATTGAAAGGGTCAAACTACCACGGAAAGGTCGTCACTTGCAACAGGGGCTGACCAGAGGGTCGTGCCTCTCTCCACCGAGCTGAAGCACCAAGTGCGCGAGAAGTTCAGTCCTTGAAGCAAGGTGCTGATACCCAGTGGACAGTTGTCAACAAATGCCATGACAGAAATTGACAAGTTTGCCATGATGCGGCCATTGCCTTTGTGGTGGAGATGGAGGGTCTCCATGTTGAAACCGGGCCAGTGAACGTCAGTGTCGAGCCTGTGGGCTGTCTCATAGTTTGGAACACCAAAATGCCATGGTTCAAGACGTCATTTTCAGGATTTGTGTACCCATTTTATAAGATGGCTGTGATAAAGTTGTATGTAATTACGTAGATTCTGAAAACCATCAGTTTCCCTGGTATTAAGATATTCAGGGCTGTGTCTGAACATATACAATCATATACAGTATTATCTTGAAATCTGCTGGTTGATCATCATTTGTTGTATTACTGTATATAAATTGCCTTTTTTGGGGGTCCCTCCCCACTGTTTGGACTCCCAGCTATCATATCACATTGTTGGCCGTAT